AAATCTTCGACATCTTCCATAGCATTAAACCTCTAGGAAAATTGCTCATTTATTTTATCCAATGATTCAAAAATTTGAATTTTGAGTTGTTATTCTTGGGTTAATGTACCTATTTCGTCATCAGCGTTTTCATCGAAAAATCTTTTTACTTTTCTTGTCCGTTTTTCTGAGAGAAAAGGCTCAATATTGCTTGGCTCTGCAAGGATCTTTGCTTCTTTAAAGCAATCGTCGACTTTGTCTCTAAACTCAGCTAAGAAACTCTGAAATGAATTTAGCAATTTAGATGCCTCCGCGATCGAAACCGTTGGCCTCTGCAAAGCAGTGTCTACATTTTCGACGTTCCTTAAAAATGCCTGCTGCACGCTCTAGGTAGCGTCCACGTAGCGTCTCGTATCTAAATTTTACTATTTTATTGTATGATGTTTGCATGGTGATTAGAGTTTTTACTACTAGTTTCGGACATACTTATATTTGTGCCGAAATTTTACTTGTAGGTATGATGTTTGCAGAAACTACTAACCTACCTTATGTGTGCATGTGGTGCGTGATTACCTATTGATTTCGGACACATTTTGACGCCTGGCGTCGTGGGCAGGTGCCCACCTTGTCCACGCCTAAATCCCCCAGTGACTCTTGGAGGATTCCCCTTCCAGGTTACGGATGGTATTTTCTAGATTCTTGAGTTCTGATTTAGGTTTGTTTCCACTTGTGAAGCAGAACCGTTCTGGTCCAGTTAGTAGAGTGTTAGCTACTTTTAGTCTAGCTAGATCGTTTGCTTATTCATTTCCTTCTATCCCTTGTTGGGCTGGCATCCAGAGTAGGAGGACTTTATTTTCTTTGCCTAATTTGTTTAGCTTTTCTAGATATGTTTTGGCCAACTTTGAATTGATGGTGACTGAGTTGATCGCTCTTAAGGCTGCTTGACTATCGGATAAGATGGCTATTTCTTGTATTGTGTTACATTCATATAAACCCTCTTTTTTTATCTAATATGGCATTAATAAATCCGCGTAAAATAAGTAACTGGTGTGGTTCAAAATGCAAACGCTTATAACCGAAACCACGCATAAATATGCCGCGTAAAACGGCGAAATCCTGTAATTTACTTTCCTTTATATGAACTCATTCATACAATTGTGCAAAAAATCTGTATAATTATTAAAAGCGAAATTATTGACAAATATTTTATTCGGAATTAATTTTGTAATTATTCTATCGATAACTTATCGATGATGTAATAACAAGAGGACCAACAAAGAGGCGTGAGAGAAGTAATAGTTGCACGAGACCCGTTCCGGAGAAGTTTAAATCAAATCTGACGCGGAACGGTCTTAATAGCATTATCTCGAAATACAACTTTGCGGATAAATTAGGCTTGCCATTTAACACAGATGTCCACTTGTCCGGAGAGCGGACGCGGCAGAGGGTCGCAAAATATGTTAATCATTTTAACGTCGCCCTGACGTTAACTGGACGTATACAAGGCGGCTCGCATATTGAACAGCTTGACCGGGACGTCGCTTGACACGAGTCGAGTGCCGTCACCGAATGGACGAAGGGCCGTGTTTTGTTTTGCCAACAGTTTAAATAGGCCATGTACGTTGATATTATCGTTGCATTTGTCGTGATTTGTAATCTAATTATTCAACAGCATTATGCAAAAAGACAATTTAGATATGGATAATAGGAATAGGAAATAATAATAGGAAATTAGAGTTACATTGTGAAAAATAAATAAGTTTTATAGAAAATATTTCGAGGAATTTTTTATTTATTCACTTGTGATTTAAAATCAGAATTTTTTTTTCTCCAGACAAAAAATTTGCCTATTAAGTTGAGAGGATCTTACTCTGGGTGCCAGCCTACCAAAGGATAGGGGTTCATGGTAATGAAAAAGAAATCGATATCGCTAACTGGATCAGAACCATTCTGCTTCCCCAGTGGAAACCAACTAAAACAGAACTCAAGAACCTGGAAGACTCCATCCGTTAGGTGGAATGGGAATCATCCAACGGTCTAAGACACTCGAGGAAATTTCTGAAGACAAACGACCAAGAAAAATTAAAGATTATCCTTGATTTATGTAAGAACAATCTTCGGATTGTCACGGGGTTTTTAACAAGACACCGTCTCCTCGATGATTACGTTAGTAGATTGAAGCTTAGAAACAATGGCGAATGCAGATTCTGTGGAGAAAATGGGAAAACAACAGAACACCTCATCAATGAGCGCGTCGAGACGGTAATCATTCGTGCAATACACTTTGGTACCACTGATATCGGAGATTTAGAACTAGCCTCTGTAAAACCGTTTTAGCTACTGGCTTTTGTCAAAGCCTTAAGACTGTATGATGAGTTATAAGTCAAGAAAGGAGGATACAATATATCTATAAGTGATTACCATTTCCCCTCCCGTGCAATCTACAATCTAGTTATAGTATCTGAAAGACCTCTTACTAAATAAATAAACGACAGCTTTATGAAATATTCTTTAGCGGTACTACAGGGCAAGAGGCATCGCAAAGTAAATAGCGGTATAATCGCTTGGAATAAACAAAAAATAGTTTTTAGGCAGTTTAGTACGCTCGAGGCTGTCATCATCTTAATTCCGGGGTGCCTGTGACAACTATTTATCACTTTCATCAATTTTCAAATTGTTTTTGGTTTGCCATGAATGTCTGATGATTGTAGATTTAATTATTTTCAATGTAAATTAGCAAATCTAGGATCTTCTTTTTCTTCTTATTATTATTACTATAAAGTCTTCTAGCAAATATTGGCAACTAATGAATAAAAATAATCTGTATGTAATAAAAATCTTTATTCATGCCTGCCCTAAATAACTGATTTGACGTACAGTTGTTTGTACGTCCCGTTCCAAAAACTGGTACACTGTTCAAAACCGCTATTGGACTGCCACCGGTGGCCAAATATGCGCTACATGATGTACCAGTGTTACAGTCACAACTGGTTTTTTATCCAGAACCTGCCCAACAGCTGTAATGGAGGTCATTCTAGACCAAACACCACTGCTCATTGTCAACAATGTTTCAACAAACAGTACTGTGAGAAATGTTAGCTCAGAAGCTTGGAACACCCTCAAAAGGAAAATTCCACTCCTCCAATTTCCAGTGGATGACATACCACGAATGTAGAACTCTGAGAAACACCGTAGTATTGAGCAACAAAAGCTCTGACAAAGAGAAACGTTTGCTTAGCAGTTAGAAGACAGGAATGTCCTCCGGAAACAGGAATGTCTTCCGGAGCAATGGGCACCTACTCCAGCATCCTTCAGGCAGAAATCTACGCTATAGCCATCTTGTACTATAGCAAAGCAGTCTTAAGAGTGTAACCATCAACTCAGTAACCATCAACTCGAAGTTGGTCGAAGAATGCCGAGAGAAGGGAACAAATTAGGCAAACAAAATAAACTCCTTCTACTCTGGGTGACAACCAAGGAATAGAAGGTTATTACCTTTCATTAAATAGTGAACAATCTAGCTAGAAAAAGAGCGAACACTCCACTAACTGGTTAAGTTGGTTCTCACTTGGGAAGCAGAACGGTTCTGATATTCTGCTTCCCAAGTGAGAACCAACTTAAAGCGGAACTCAAGAACCTGAAAGACTCCATCCTTAATCTGGAATGGGACTCCTCTGACTATTGACTCGGAGAAATTTCTCATTGACGACCTAGAAAATCAAAGATTTTCCCTTGATTTAAGTAAGAACAATCTTCGAATTGTTACGGATTTTTTAACAGGACATGTCTCCTCAATGAACAAGTTTGTAGATTGAAGCTAAGAAACAACTGTAATGCAGATTCTGTGGGGAAAATGGAATAACACCACACCTTGTAACTGAGTGCGCCTCCTATAAATTCTAAAATTGCGCTAACATCTGATAAATACTTTTTATATTAATTTAAATAATAAATTTATAAAGTTAGTTAGACGCCATTTAACATCTAGGTAAATAGAAATATTTCCCTTAATTATTGTAACCCTTTCCGTAATGTTATATTTTCTGACTTCTAATTTTGTGATATGGCATACAAAAAAATCAGTGACATACTCGAAAAATTAAATATTTCGGCATCTACCAAAAACCATTTATGTACCTTTCTCCAAACACAAAATTTCCAAACCAAACATTAGTAAAGCGACCGTTAACTTTATTAATTGGTAAAACAGGGCCATTCTCATAAAGCTGAAAATTAAATGTAAAAACCTGTTAATGAGTTCGCCACGAAAAGCTTTTACAGCATCTTTCGCATATTTGTTCCGAAACCATTCAGTTGTGTAAATAGTTTTTGCCGCTTTTTCCCGTCTCGGGAAATGCTGTTTCGGCATTTCAAAATGTTTTGAATAACTGAAACACTATGTTTTATAAATTCAATTTGAGAAGCATAAAATGTCTATTCTCTATTCCAATGCATACTTAATTGAAAAATGTTTAGCGTAATTATTTTTTTTTTCCAAACTAATGGATTTCAGATTTTGGCTACTGTTATATGTTATTAGCTTAGAGGAAACTATCTTAACTAGAATTTCTAGAATTATAAGGATGAGAGTAAAACTGTGATATATATTCTAGGTTCTTGGTCACTAGAACAAAATCTACAAAATAAATTAACAAAACACCGCTGCGGTGATCCAACAATTATTTAAAATATCTAAATACAACTATTCAAGAAAAGTTTTATAGCAGATACGTCCATTATAAACCGTAGAAGTTTTGTTAAAATGATATTATATGAAATCAAACTTCAAAATCAACAATTACTACATGATAACAATCCTAGTCCACAAAAACTACAAAGATATGATTGTAGATGTCAAAAACATAAGCCCACGAGTCATATGTTTAACAATCAAATTAAATAAAAATACTCTGTAAAGGTTATTCAGGCATATGCACCAACTACCGAAAGTACAGATGACGAATTGAGAACTTTAAGAAGATGTATCCACTGCTCTACAAAATGGAAAAACACACTATACAATGTTAATTGGAGATTTTAATGCCAAAGTTGGTAGCAAACAAGATGAAGCGGAAACTTCAGTCAGCTATCATGGATTGGGAAGCCGAAACGAAAGAGGTGATACACTGATAGATTTCGCACACCACAACAAATTATATATAATGAACACCTTCTTCAAGAAAAGAAACAGCAAAAAGTGGACATGGACCAGTCCAGATAGCAAAACCAAAAACGTAATAGATTTCATAATCAGCAATAGAAAAGATGTAATCAAAGACGTAAGTGTATTAAACAGATTTTCGATAGGAAGCGATCACCGCATTGTAAGAGCCGAGATAAAAATAAATATAAAGAAGGAAAGAACTAACATGATACTCAAGAAAAACCACAAGAAATGGGTAGCCCCTGAAAATAAAGATTCTTATAAGGAATGTATAGCCTCAAATCTAAATTATGAAAATACTACTACGATAGACGAAATATACGAAAACATCAAAGGGGCCACTCAAACGGCTATCGAAAAATGTTGTCCCAAAAAGTAAAAAGAACAAAAACTGAATCAAAGAACAAAACTTTTAATGAAACAGAGAAGAGATATGGAGGACAAGAGTACACAAGAATATAGAACTTTAAACAGAGAGATATCCAAAGAAATCAGAAAGCATAGGAGGCAACAGAATACGGAAAAAATTAGGAAAGTCATAGAGAAGAATCAAAGTTTGAAGATATTGAGAAATAGTACAATGGGAAGAAAAGAAATACAAAAGATCAAGGATATGCACGGCAACATAGTAACACACAAACAGGAAATCCTACACTCTATTAAACTTTTCTATCAAGAACTTTACACATCAAAACAGCAGGGGATCAGAACCGACATCCGAAAGGTAATAAATCAGGGGTCGGAAGAAATTCCAGAAATAACCGAGGAAGAAATTATCAGTGCCCTTAGAGATATGAAAAACAATAGAGCTGCCGGCGACGATGGACTGGTAATAGAGTCAATCCAAGAAGGAGGACCAGAAATCATCAAAGCTTTAAATGTCCTATTTAATAAATGCATTGAAGAAGAAATAACCCCATCACAGTGGAACAACGCAACCATCATTATTGTACACAAGAAAGGTGACGTTACAGACCTTAAAAACTATAGGCCCATCAGCCTTCTTAGCCACGTATACAAATTATTTACTAAAATACTCACCAAGCGTTTGACAAATAAAATAGACTTTTTTCTTTCGAGCGAACAAGCAGGTTTCCGATCAGGTTACGGAACAAATGACCATCTTCTAACAGTCAAGGTCCTTATCGAGAAATGCATTGAGTATAATAGACCACTAATGCTTGTCTTCGTGGATTTCGAGAAGGCCTTCGATTCGGTAGACCAGCGGAAGCTTCTAGAGACACTAAGTGAGAGTCGCATCGATCATCGATACTCCTCAATCATAAGACATATATATGATAATGCCACGGCAAACGTCAGAATATCGACAAATCAATGCACAGATAAATTCAATATCGATCGAGGGGTAAGACAAGGCGACACACTGTCCCCTAAACTATTCGTTGCTGTGCTAGAAAGTATGCTAAAAATGATAAACTGGGATTCAACAGGAATTAACATCGATGGCAAATTGATAAATCATCTCTGTTTTGCAGATGACATTATTTTAATAACAGACAACATACAGGAGGCACAGAATATGCTGGATATGCTGAATGATGCTTCGGAAAAAGTCGGTTTGAAAATTAACTTGTCAAAGACACAATACATGACAAACCTAGTACTAAGTGGAAATTTAAACATTAATAACATACCTTTGGAACAAGTGCATATATATAAATACTTAGGGCATGAGATCGGTATTAGAAGGGATAATCAGACCAAAGAAATTCTACGAAGAATAGGTTTGTCGAAGGCTTTCGGAAAACTAAGGCATATACTGAGATCTGATATTTCCATATGTTTAAGAAGAAAGATCTTTAACCAGTGTGTCTTGCCTGTCCTCGCGTATAGAGCTGAAACTCTTACTTTGACAAAAAAGAACATACATAGAATGCAGGTCATGCAACGGAAAATGGAAAGGTCCAAGTTGGGAGTTACACAGAGATAAAATACCCAATCATACAATACGAAATTGAACAGGAGTAAGAGATGCGGTGATATCTGTCTTACATCTTAAATGGAATTGGGCACGACATGTGGCTAGGATGACCGATGGACGGTGGACAAAGAGACTTGTGGAATGGAGACCGAGACACGAGGCCTATAGAAGCAGAGGACGACCTCCTAGTCGATGGACAGATGACATTAAGAGGGTGGCTGGAAACTGGATTCAAGTGGCACAAAATAGAAGGAAATGGCTAGAGTTAAGGGAGGCTTTTGTTCAGCAGTGGACGGTATAAGCTAAATGATGATGATGATGATGACATGATAACAATTATTCAATGAGGTAAAAACAAAAACCTTCAACTTTCTGTAGGTATACAGAGTGTTACAAATTCGAGGTACGAGCATTGGTATCTCGGTAACCGTAACAGATACGAACATGGTTATATTAGGGCAAAGTTCCGCTTTAGGATGTTCACCAAGATGCCATCAAAAGGTTTTAAAACTTTCAAGGATTACTGAGTTTTTTGAAAAAAAAACCGGATTTTTTTGAAAATCAATTATATTTTTTCCTGTCGTTGCTTTTTAGAAAATCAAAAACTAATTGCACATTCTCATAGCCACTTTATTAGGGTTATCTGATGGTTTTTTAGATTTTCAAATTAGCTCATAGTTTGGGAGATACAGAGGCCAACTTAATTTTTTTAAATACGGACCTGCATTTTTTATTTCAGGTTTTGAAATAATTCGGTCTCCTGAGTACAATGATATGCCACATTTGATACTTTTTTTTGTTTTGAGTACCTTAACAATAACAAAACTATTTAATTGTTATTTAAAATAATTTCAAATCTGGCTCGGGTTTTTTAATTTAATTAATCTGATTATATTCATCACAACAATATTAATCAGCGCTAATTAACATTGAATAAGGAAAATCAATAAAAATTGTTTTGGACATTTGAAATCAATACATTTCAGCATTAAGAGTACAAAAAGAATTAACGAGTAATAAAAAATCAATTAAAGAGAACAAAATGCATTCGGAAGTATAAGAAGAAGATCTGTTCAAAGAGCTATAAATAAGATTGAAGAAAAAACAAATGTGTACATTATGGAGGGTGGTAACCATTTCGAACAGGCAGAGCATTAGAAACTAGTTTGTAGAAGTTGATTTATTTATAATAACTACGATTAATATTATGCATATTATAAGATCGTACACTGAGATTTCAAATTCACAATAAAAAAAGTTAAAAAATAATAGATAGGTATCTTTAAATAGCTGACCTGGATATTAATTATTTGAATCTTTCAATTATTTATTCTTTATTCAATGTTAATTAGCGCTGATCAATATTGTGCTGAATATAATCAGATTAAATAAATTAAAAAAACCAGAGTCGGACTTCAAATTATTTTAAATAAGAGTTAAATAGGTTTCTTACTGTTGAGGTACCCAAAATAAAAAAAAAGTATCTAGTGTGGTATATCATTGTACTCAAGAGACCAAGTTCTTTCAAAACCTGAAATAAAAAAAGTTGGCCTCTGTATCTCACAAATTATCATCTAATTTGCAAATCTAAAAATACCATCAGATAACCCTAATAAAGTGGCTATGAGAATGTACAATTAGTGTTTTAATTTTCGGCAATCCTTGAAATTTTTAATACTTTTTTGATGGCATCTTGGTGAACATGCCAAGGAGGCAACTTTGCCCTAATTTAACCATTTTCGTATCTATTACGGTTTCCGAGATACCAATGCTCGTACCTCGAATTTGTACCACCCTGTATAATTATTTTTTGTTTTTAATTTTTACTTACGTTATGTTTATTAAAATCAAAGAAGCGATAGCCATTCATTACTGACCTCTACAGATGCCTGAGTAATAATTTATTTATATTAAGTCGACTTAAAAAAACCTCTCATATTTTTCGTTTGGAAGCTATCGGTCCTTTCATCATAATTTTTGCGTTGTTAAAATCTACTCCTTGCCCTGTGTCCCATGAATGCTGACAAATCTTACATTTGTTAAAATCGCTCTCTTTTATAAATATAATCTTTATGTTCTTTAATTCGAACAATTGTAGATCTAGGTCTAGGTCTAGGTATATATTTCTATTCTATTTTCTTTTGCTAAGTATTTTGTCTATTGCATTTTTAGTTTGTTGTTTAGTGTTGAGTTAAAGTGGATCTGAAAGTGTATTTTGTGTTTTATTTTTTTCTGAAACGCCTCGTATGTATGCAATTATTGTAAGTTGTTTACCGAGTAAGTCTCAAAAGTGGCTCCCCCCTATAAGTTTTATTATTTTTTCAGATAAAAAATCATCGAGATTTGGTATGTAATATGAATATATA